TATTATTAACGATTGCTCATTATTTATTTCATGTTAAAATATGTATATCGTCGTGGGCGCCCCCGACTTTACAATAATGACTCCTTTGTTTTACAGCTAACTTGTTTTTGTAATGATGACGTTGTTCGTAAAATATAGATGTCTCATGATAATAATTCTGTATATGTTTAACCTTCATTGTCTTACGCTTAGGGGCGTATATTTTTCTAATATAAAATTGTAACAATTATTATTTAAAGTTGTTCATTATTTATGACATGTTCAAATATGTATTTTGTCGAGACCGCCCAGATAGTACAATAACGACTTCTTTATTTCACATTTAACTTGTTTTAAACAAGATCAGGTTGTTCTTTGATTTCTTGTGTCCACTTTATGTCACACGTCTATACGAGCCTTGTTGAGTTTACTAACATTTTCGCCCGTGCGGAACGAATCTGGATTAAGCTCGATTGCCTCCCGTATGGGACTCCAGTGTTATGAAGGATCTTCCGAAATCTCAACTATAGCTGGATTGCCTCCCGTATGGGACTCCAGTACCTTCCGGCTCTGCCGGCTAACTAACACCAAACCTCTTCAGTTTTACTTGGAAGTGTGTATGACTAATATGAGGTAACAGATGACATTTAGTGACACATTAAATGAGACAGGTCTTATTTATCACTAGCAAAGGATCTTAATTTATGCCTTTGGTTAGCGGTTGTTTTGTATTTATATTTGGGTGGTAAGAGCAAAGATCGTGGGTTTCTCTGCCATGCTCTTTCCCCACAGGAGCTCTAGGTGAACCTGGCACTCTCATTCTATGTTAAATGGTTGTTAATGTTTTTGTTGTTATTTCTATGTGTCACATGTTTCATTTGAATATTGTTGTACGTAAATAAAGTTAGGTGTATTTACTCTGCTTTTGTTTTTATAAAATTAAACCATACATCCCCTCTAAAAAAGTTAATAGCCAGCGCCTTCCGGTCGATTTAAAAATAGATACACACAACGTAGGGATTCCTTATGACAATCACATATTTTTGGCCACAACTTTTTTATCGAACCTAGGGTTGTTATACCACAAGTTGTCGGCTAAAGGAACAGCGTTGCCAAGTTCACATCATAATGTGTGGTTCACATTTACTGTTAAATGTATTCAAGTAAATAAAGGAGCTTGCTGCATTTTATTATAAATAATGTTAACAATTGTATTAACTTAGTGTAGAATGTTTTAACAAGCCTGACTTCTCGAAGTAAACTTTCGTTAAAAGAACATACATAAAGCAGAGGTAGTTGCCTGTTTGTTTTATTTTATCAAATAAAAAAGTCGGCACACTACTAAATACCCAAATATACAAAATACGCTACACACGGTTACAAAACCATTAACAATTTAAAGCGTTTATTCAAATCTACCACCCTCCATATCTCCCGCATTTTTCCCGCAAAGGAGTTAACATAACACATTTTCAAAAAGTTCAAGCTTTAGAAGCAGCTGATTTCCCCAATCGTCTTGAATTTTGCAATTGGTTCCTAAGTGCAGCAGAACTTTATTAACAAAGTGCTCTGGACGGATAAATGCTGTTTTATTTGTGCTGGCATTTTATGGCAACAATAAGTGCCTACCTAGGATACACCAAAGTTTAGATTTACACTAAAGTTTACATTTATTATGTAAACTTTGGTTATACGCAACTGCATATTGAATAATAAATTGAAATACTAAAACTGTGTATTATTTAACATAATAAATTATAAAACGTGAAAACGTTAATAATATTAAAAATGATAAATTGTAATAACCGTACATTGGAAAACAATCATCCGTATTCATTACATTGTTTGCAGCCGTGTGACTCTGTTTGCCACGGCACTCTGTCTGGCTCCTGGACTGTTTGTACACGTGCAAATTAAAAACTGGGTCATTGACCTACACGGTCCGTAAAAAAGGATCGTGGTTGACCTAGATACAGGTTAACCTAGGTCGGAATCACGTACCGAGTTGTTTACTTGTCTCCGTTCGATTGTTTTTTTATCTTCTATTACAGTCAGTATTTAAATACTACATACATTTCACCCTCTCTTTATAATTTATCTAGTGAGTGTTGGTTTTTATGTCATTATTTTTGTAATGAAATTGAAATGGTTGTGAAATGAAATTTAAATGACTTGAACTCTTGGAGTTTTGTAACTTCAATATTAAATTTTATTTAAAGTGAAACAGAGCTAATTTCTTTGCAGCCATAATAGTCACATTTGGTCAGATGAAAACCCGCACACTACTCGTCAGTTTAGCTTTCATAGGAGATTCGGTGTCGATGTATTATGGGCAGGAGTATATGGCGATCGTTTAATGGGCCGCATTTTCTACCTGAAAATCGGAATGGGCCGCGTTACTTTCAATTTTCAGTAGAATTGTTTGAAAACCTTCCCCTTCAGATACTACAGAATATGTGGTATATGCACGACAGATCCGGCCCATTTTGCTCGCGATGTCCGTGTATTTTTAGACGATCAATGTCCCAATCGGTGGATAGCGAGATGAGGGCCCATAATCCTATGGACTTTTGTATATGGGGTTATATGAAATCTGTCGTGTATCACACCGAAGTAGAGAATGTAGAGCAGTTGCGGAATCGTATCGAAGATGCCGCTGAAGAAATACGTAACAACCCTGGTTTATTCCATCGCATCCGCCGCTCATCTATCTAACGTGTACACTTGTGCATAGACGGTAACGGTAATGTATTTGAACATTTGCTTACAGCAAAAAATTAACATTATGATGTTAATAAAAACTGATTTTTGGCAAGGCATGCTCAGACCTCCTCGAGGTTCTTCTAGGCAACAATAACAATTTAATGTGTTGATTGCATAATTATAAAAAATAATTTATAGCATTTTAAATTATTATTTGCTGACGTGAGCAAACCGTTTATTTATTGTCTTTATATGAGCGAAAATATATAAATATGGCAACGTTGCGTCTAGGGTGCGTTGTTCATATCGTAGCCGTGCTCAAATTCTAAATAACCGACGACGTCAGCCGGTCAGTAACAGCCTGAAAAGGGGGTTAAATAATGATTTGAAAATATTTTTTTCTGCTTAAATATGCATTTAATTTTTTTTTAATCACGCCATCGTATTATACTCATTTTTCTCTATCTGCTCTTAAAATTAATGACATTATGACTGTACATCACCCTGTACATATATTGAACTACAGTTTTCGAAAGTTTTATCACTTTTTGTTTGTAATTGACATTTTTACAGCAACTTTAAAAAATTGACGTTTTATACCGTTTTTTCAATTTCACGGCTTTGTTATTGCAAATTTCGTAATCGGATCCGCCATTTTGTAGCTATTTTTATTACGAACAAAATCATGTTCTACGCATTTTTTCGTACAAAGTCATCCTGCTGAGTTATTTAAAGAAAAGTACTAAAAAAAAAATGTTTCTCAATTAAATTGTTAATAACTTTTTTTCCTGATAAAATACTTTGTCGGCAAATTAGCCTGTTATTGTACTCATCATTTAAAGTAGGCCTGTGTAGTTATTTCCGGGTTATCAAGGTTTTTGACACAGGCCAAACCTCTACCAACTGGACTACTGTTGAATATAGTTATCTCGATACTACTTTTGGTAAATATGAAGAATACCAACTTTATCCCAATTTTAACCTAAATGACAGATATCCTATGTACTTTTAATTGCTGAACACAAATCTGATGTCCACACTTATCGGACAGTAGTTTTTAGAGCAAAGGAGGGAGAAAACACAATTATATTGAAAAAAAAGAAGTGTAAGTCAATTTCCCAAGTATTTTTGTGCATTTAAAATAAATCCAATGTCAAAAAGGGCACTCTGCCCTTCTAAAGGCAAAGAACAATTCTACTAAAAAATCTCAAGTGTGTAGTTTTTTTAAGAACAGCCTAACCTGATCTAACTAGTGCCAACTTATACGCATGCGGTAAACCTTTGGAAGGGTTTTAACCCTTCGTAAGGATCTTACCAAGTTTTACCAGTTCTATGATCAGTCACAAACCTTGGCACTAGTTAGGTCAGGTTAGGCTATTCTTTAAAAACACTATACACTTGAGATTTTTCAATAGAATTGAATTGTTGCCCTTTTTGCCCTTGGAAGGGCAGAGTGCCCTTTTTGACATGGGATTTATGTTGAGCGCCTAAAAATACATAAGAAAATACATGTTACACTTCTTTTTTCAATATAGTTGTGATATTTTTGCACCTTTTCGCCATTTTTTGCCCTAAAAATAGCCGTCCGCCAAGTTTGGACATCAGATTCATGTTCAGCACTCAAAAATACATAGAAAATCAGTCATCTAAATTAAAATCAGGATAAAGTTGGTATTCTTCATATTTACCAAAGGTAGCATTGAGATAACTGACATTCAATATAGAAGAGATTTGTCCTTGCGATTACAAAAAATCTAAACAAACATTTTTTTACTCTTTATTCCACGGACTGTGGAATTATATTAGGCTAGGTAAGGTGATAAAAAAGTGTCTCTTATGATTTTTCAATCAGACCAGTATTTTTCGAGATATAGCAGTTTCAAATATCCAAAAATAATAAAAATATATATTTATAAATTTCAATTTTCAATTATTGATAAACAATTACAACAAACGAGTTACAACAATTGTTCAAAATTTCTCCATCTGCTGCTAAACATAGTTCAATACATTGTGCTACTGCTCGAATGGAGTTGCGTATCACCTCTGGTGTTATTTCCTGTATTGATTAAAATAGGTGGTTCTGCAATTCATTCAAATTTGCCACTAGTGTTCTGTACACCAACGTTTCTAGGAAGCCCCAAAATAAAAAAAAATCACATGACATTAGGTCTGAAGAACGAGGTGGCCAAGCAAATGGACCGCCTCTGCCAAGTCAACCGCACTACTTCACCTGCACGATTATTTGAAGTTCCGAGAACCATCAGCATTATCACAATATACACAATTTGAATAATTGTGGCCTATTATTTTGCACAGTTTGTACTGACAGGTACTTTTACTGTACTCTAACGAATGTCAAAGTATTGATGAATGCTTTCTGAATTGTCATTAATTGTTAGAGAGCCGTCTGTTTCAAACAATACAACAAATAATGCCAGAGATGGTATGAAACTCTATTCGAGCAGTAGCACAATGTGCTGAAGCATGTTTAGCAAGAGGTGGTGGAAATTTTGAACAATTCGTTTGTCAGAATTGTTTATCAAATGATTAAAAATTGAAAAATTTTATTATTTTTGGATATTTAAAACTGCCGTATCTCGAAAAATATCGGTCTGATTGAAAAATGATAGAGACATTTTTGTATGACCTTATCTAGCTTAACATAATCCCACAGTCCGTGTCCGCAAAATTCGTAACACCCTGTATTTAGAGACAAAATTTTGCTGAATACAGATTTGTCAACAAGTATTAGAGGTACTGGGAGACCTGTTACTAAGAACCCCAGATTTTCAATGCCAATGGATATTTTGTAAATTGTACAGTGGAGTTCGGTTATAATGACATTCGAGGTATAGTGAAATCCCGATAAACAAAATGGACATTGTAATAAGCAAAATGAAAATGATGCTCTCTTTATCTCTTTTGCTTTCATACAGTTTATACCTTTCATACCTAAAAATATAGCAGGATTAAAGTTTCAGTCAATTTTCTTGTAATTTCCAAGCAGTACTGTTTTATTAGAACACAATTTTACGCATTTGGATAGAATAATTTCTCATGACATACTCTTCCGTTACTATTAGAAATAGATATATCAAACTTATACCACAGTAGTCTTATTTGAAAAATTACAAGTACGATATGTATTTCCAAAAGGGAACATTCAATTATTTTTTATGTATTGCGTTGAAATCACAAGACAATTTCTTAAAACCATTTTCTTCAAATGCAAATGTGTTTTGTTCCCTTCTTGAATTATACATAATGTTGATCTTTTATTACATTGTCTAAGGCTTAGACTCTAAGCATTATATTGCTGCAAGTCTAACAAATATGCAATATATGTTGTACTAATCGCAGCAGACTGGATTTCAGATTTATATTTTTGCTATATAAAATCGTAGTAACCAAACCATCAAACAAAACGAATTAAAAGTAAATTATTATTGATCACAACAACTGGAACTATTATAAGCACACTGAAATCCATACTCTTTCTATAAATGATAGGTCATTAAAAGCACTGTATTTCTAAGAAAAAATAGATCTTTGAAAAAACCATCTACTTATTATTTTAATTTAATAATAATTCATAAAAAGTTTACCATACAACCTGACTAAATCTAAAATTATTTGTTTATAAGTATATTGAATAAGTGTGATATTTTTTAATACTCGAAAACCAATGGCTTTAGACCCTTTGTTCATGAAAGCTTGGTAGTCTATAATAATCCAAGGAACATGTTCCTTACGCTATATTTACTTAGAAAATATCCTAGAGATAAATTTATTCTTTCAACTTACTTGAGGTGCAGTAGAACAGTAACTCTTATGGTGCAAATGTTCTTTAATCCTTGTATCTTGATATATGTCCGAAATGGGGACCTAATTTAATATTTATTAGATGGATAGTACTAAACTCACAATATTATATACGAACCTTATTTATCTCTGGAAATATCGTGCTCAAGTTAAAATTGGTCAATGATGTACCAACTGCATTTATGGAGGGAGATATTTCAGGATGCTGAATGGTATTCCTGCAAACTGGAGGAAGAGGTAACAAGGAAGCACCACTAATATCATTATTTTGCTTTGGATATAAGGAATTTTTACATGAAAAAGGAGTTGTAGGTGCTAAGAAATTCGTATGGGAATGGAAATCATCCGGTAAAATTGGTGAATTATTAGAGCCAGCTAACGGCAAAAATGGGAAATCAAATAATCCATTATTGGTATCATTTACCGGCTTTTTCTTTGTTCTTTTCATGTTATTAGAACAAATTGAATAATGATTGTTTTTCTCTTCTTTATTCAACTGTTTACTGCAGACTTTAGTATTGTAATGTTTGTTATCTTTGGATGATGCATTTGAAATGAGATTAATACTATCAGATAGATAATCTTGTGGTCCTGAATCGAAGTTATTTGTTCCTAAGTAACTTGAAGCAATTGTAGAAGCAGTGTAAATAAAACTATTTGATGAATATGTATTATTCTGAAATGAAGTTGTGAGATTATGCGTAAAATTGTTGGCCTGATAATTCTGATTCTGCGATATATAATTCTCTTGAGGCAGATCAACAGGTGGAAAATAAGATATTATGTTTTCTGCTAAAAAACTTGATGGCCCTAATGACTTATTTGATACTGTCGGATATCTTCTATTTATAGTCTCATCCTGGACTTGATTACCAATTAAAGCTTCTGCAGAATAACTGCTTGAAGGATTTTTATGTGTATTTTTATTTTTTTGTTCTGTAAATAAATCAATCCCCGAAAAAGAGTTAAAATTATTAGTAGATCTTGAAGGGTGCATGTTATCGTTATTAATGCCACAATGTGATAATATATCTTTATTATCATGTTTTGTAACCCTTTTCGATTTCTGCTGGACATTATTTTTAGATCTGTTTCCACTATTTCTTCTTGATGTCGTTTTGGCTGCAATACTTTCTGATTTATTATGATCAACTAACTGACTAACAGAGAGAAAATTAGATTGGTTCTCATCATTAACTTTATTAATTTGACGAAAATCTTTATTTTCTTTTGTAGATTTGTACTCGGTCTTTTGTTCTGCAAATGGTAGAGTATTACCTAGCGCTAAATCTCCTACCAAAGTAGGTAATGTTGATGTTACGAAGGTGTGGGGTGGGTCTAAGAAATGTGGAAGTTTGGTCGGTGACCATGAAAATTGCTTTTCTTCGATATCTAATCTCTGATGGGAACTTAATGAAACAATAGGTAAATCTAAACATTTCTTTGTTTCTAAAGCGCAATTCATTTTATTAGTGTCCATAGTAGTGGTAGGGAAATATGTAGATGTAGCAGTTGTATATGAAGTAAAAGGATATGTTTGACTAAAATTGCCTTTGGAAAATGAAGTTAATAAACATTCAGATGTTGGCAACCTGCTATCAGGAGCTGTCATCCAATTAATGGGCTGCTTATTATCACTTGATTTCACTTTGACGGCATTATTATTCTTTTTGTCTTTCATGTAACCAGAAGCTTCATAATATTTTCCAGTAACACTTGAATCATTTTTACGATAATCTGAATAACTATCATAGTTGAGGGGATAGTAAGATTTGGTTTCATTTCGTGAAATATTTTTATAATAGTTCTGATTGAAATTTGTTTCTGGGTGATAGTTATAATTGTAGTTATTACAATTAGTATATAGAGGATTAGTATAATTTCTATTAATATTGGTATATGAACATGTAGAAGGTATGCAAGTTTTAGTCAAATCAGATTTGTAGTTAAAGTCACAAGTTGAATGCGAGTACGTTGTAGATACTTGATACTGAGATTTTGAATCTACAGTTTTCTGTACGACTTCACCAACTTTAGGAAGTGAAAAATTTAAATCTGATTTTGAATTGGGTTGAACTTGTGAATTATACATAGCGTGTTCGTTGAACTTTTGACTATTGCTTGGCTTTTCACAATTCTTTCCATCTTTAGAAACATCTTTGGAGGTATCTACAGTTTTTTGACAATATATATTACAATTCTGTTTTACCGGTTCAGCCACACAAGTCGGTATGCAGGGACTTTTTACATTAACATATATTGATGTATTATTAGTAGTATTATGTTTACTACTACTATTTGCAGCTGTTTCAGTTTTACTATTACTAACAGGAATTGGATAATTATTATCAAAGCTTCCGCAAAGATCTTTCGAGGAAAAAAATGAAAAGTTATCCAAACTTAAGAAATTGGAAGTTATAACATCAGATTGTGACTGAGTGGATTTTGTGGTATCCATTGTCCCAATTTGTAATAATGTGGGTGTAACGCTGTGACTTTCTGAATTTTCTCCATCAATAACTTCTGTTACTTTAACTCCAGATGAAACCAATGGAAATGCTAATAAAAAAGCTGCAGTGGGAGAGGTAGACTCAGGATTCTGGCAACCTGATGGTACTTGTAATGATGCAAATATGTCATCGGACAGTTCAGAATGGGGGAGATTTATTTCTAAACTCTTCATATCATCATGTGCTGCGGTAGTTGTAGAAGTTGTAGTTGAGGTAGAAGTGACAATTAATGATATCTGTGGGTTTTCGTTGTTGTATTTTGTGCTTGTTTCTTGTTTCTTTTCAGAAATATCATAAGAGGTTATTTCTTTGCTTTTGGTATTTTGCAATTGTGTGTTTTCAGGATTCTTATCTACTTCTGAGCTTTTTTGTTCAACTCTTATGATCTTTTCTTCTTTTTCTATAGCATCATTTGATTGTAGTGTATCTGTGGTACTAATTTTGGTAATTTTGGTACTGTCTTCTTGAATAGCAGGTATATCAACTGGAATATCTGTAGATAAACTAACTGCAACTGTATCACTTTCTGAACTTTTCACATTTTCAAAATCATTTTTGCTCTTTTTGTTACTAATTTCTTCTTCCACATTACTTTTTCTTTTGGTTACTTTCTTTATCTCACTTTTATTCAATTCATTCACTTGATCTGTTATCTTGTTTGGTTTCTTTACTTTAGCCTGATCCTTTTTCTTAGTAATCTCTGTTTTGGATTCATTGAATAAACAATAATTGCTGGCATATGGTGAAGTCAAGGCAGGAATAGGAACTTTGTTGACTTGTGTAGTTCTTGTCAAGCAATATTTAGGCTTAATGAAGGGCAATGTTTTTATACTGGCACTTGAAGTTGTCTGCACAGAATTTTTTGATGATACATTTTTATCACTGGAATTTGTCTGCTGCGTTTGTACTACTTTGGGGATAGTATAAAAGGTTGAATTAAGAATCAAATTGTTGGAACTTGGTAATAATGATTGTGGTTGAGGCAACACCGGTACAGCTAAACCATTTCCTAATATCAATGTACCGGGACCTAGAGGTGCTAAGGAAGAAGTAGGATAAATCACAGTTTTAACTGGTCTAGGTTTAGTTTTCACTACGACTGATTTGGAAGTGGCTCTAGAATTTAGTCCTCCTGAAATAAATATGTTCTTGCATATTTTTGTTCAAGTTCATTCACATAACATTCTGTCCTTATCTTTTGTATATTTCTATAAAAGACAAAATACAGTGTGACCTCTTTAATCTGAACACCACATTGGCAGGCATTGTACGGATTACCGAACATACTATAAAGTATGTATATTATGTAAGTACATACACATTTTATTATAACAATATAAATATAAATTATATAAGACACATAAAATGTATATAAGGTAAAACATAAACATGTAGTTACATATACATACAGGGTGTGCGATTTAACACTCCCGCTGCCAATATGTCTGAAATGAAGAAATTTATTTTAGTTTTGGAAATTGGGGTTGTTAGGTCCCTCGAATAGCTTCAAATTGTAGTTATAATTGTTAGTTCAATATAGATAGTGTGGCAATACTAAAAAATTTCTTGTTCCCTGGAACGTAGAAATACAGAGCATCTGAAAGATCGTTAAATTTTGAGTAATTTTTGTAATATAAAGTTTTTCCCTACATTTACTTGTTTCCGAAATATGTCGACTTCAATATGCAATGTATGAACTAACACGAAAATCTGTTATTTTATTTAAATCACACCGAAACAAAATATTCTTTTAAAATATTGTTATAATGGCTTTATTCACATCACATACTAACTAACAATAATTTATAAAAAAAACTTATGATCAACTACAGAAAAAAAATTGTACGATGGTAAATCTTATAAGGGGCAGAGACAAACCGTATTTTATCAAATGTTATTAAAATATGCAGTCATAGGTGGCTCATGTCATTTATTTAAAATAAAACAATGACACAATTAGTTTTCCAATAATTACAGTTTTATCAGTTTGCGTCTTTCAATTTAACTATACTAGTTATATGATTTACCATTGTAATAATTTTTTTTCTGTAGTTGATCATTTGTTTTTTTTATAATTTATTGTTTGTTAGTATGTGGTGTGAATAAAGTTATTATAACAATATTTTAAAAGAATATTTTGTCTCGGTGTGATTTAGATAAAATAATAGATTTTCCTGTTATATCATACATTGCATATTGATGAAGTCGACATATCTCGAAAACAAGTACATATAGGGAAAAACTTTATATTACAAAAATTACTCAAAATTTAACGATCTTTGCGATGGACTGCATTTCCACGTTCCAGCAATCAAAAAAATTTTTAGTTTCGCAACGCCATCTATACAGAAAGATTTGAACTAACCTTTATAACTGCAATTTGAAGCAGCTATTCGAGGTGACCTAACAACCCCAATTTCCGGAACTAAAATAAATCTTTTCATTTCGGAGATATTGGCAGCGAGAGTGTTAAATGGAACACCCTGTATATGTATTATTTTACGTTTTTCACATTATTTATTTTTCTTACTTCCAAAGAAACTCCAAAATTGTTAAACAAAACACGACACGAAACAGGTTCTTCGCCATCGGCAAACAAATTGACTGCCGACTACGCGAGTACGCGTGAAGCGATCTAGTCTTTTCTTGTCATCGTTCAGATTTGGCCATTCGGATTAGCGTGTGATCGGATTAACGTGTGTTCGGATTAAAGAACTGTAGTCACTGTAGTGAAAATTTTCTTCTGATTTTAAAAAAAATATACCTATAAAAAACAATTGACTTGTTACGTTTTGATGATTATTTATAATTTCATTTAGCTTGGAATATTCCAATCTTTTGTTTTCTTTAAACACAACACTTTATATATATATTTTTTGTATTCCTCTATTTTTTCTGATTATAATGTTATAGACATGTCATATATTTGCTTTGACAGTTTGCACAGTTTTAGTTTATTTACTACTCCTGCACAGTCAAGAATACCATGAAATCACAAGAAAACTTCGTAACCCTATGGCTTTTGTCATTTTATCCTAGATAGAAAGGTATAAAAGATAAAGTAGAATGTTATGTAAATGACACTGTACAGACTTATGCTATCTGTACATAAGGTACATAAAAAAACAATAAAAAATTTGACCGACATAGAACTGCATATGGTAGCACATATACATATATACAAAAAAAAAATTAAATATAATTGGACAATTTTATTTTAAATACTATTGAAAGGGAAAATGCCTTCAACATTATTTTTTATAGTGAAAGTCCATTCTTCTGCTTTTGTCTGAAATAAACTTTTCAATTACTTTTCCATTAAGTTTGGTATTTCTCGCACCATCGATTTTTCAATAGATAGCATACTGTTAGTTTATCTTTACAATGAATTTAAACTTTTACAATCTGTTAAATACAAGAAGCAATACATAACAAAATTACACCACCCCTGAACAAATTATGTAAATATGTGCTAAGTACTCTCACAATATATTCCACTGTTGTGTGATGGTAACCATGATCACCATTGTAGACACTTTACAGATGTAGAAGCAAGCTACGTGAATACGTATTCAACAAAATTTTGCAAGTCGAATTAAATTGACTACACATTACAAAGGACCCCGCACAAAACCAATGGAAAAAGACTTTTCGTCAAATTGCTTGAAAATGTGGGATCAAGTAGATGATATGATGTATATCAAAAGTCCCCATGGGCCCAACCTCCGCCTATGCACGGTTTCAGAGATATGTGAGCTGAAAGTCACCCAATATAGCCAAATCTGCACTTAACGTTACCGTGTAATCATCACTTGGTGAAGAAGAATATTTGATTCCAGATATTATAAAGAGCTTGAGATTTATCAATAGATTTTAAAAGAACAAGAATTGCAACATTTTTAGAGATCTTGCGCATCGAAGTTAGTCGCACGTTCAGCATAATTATGAAAATCAGAACAATTTAACAAATGAAAAATTCGAAATACTACATATATCCGATTTCTAAAACGAATTTTGCCGATCTTTTTACTTATTGTGCTTCAGTTGGGAGAATATAGGTATGTTAGCAGAAAAGATCTTCTTTGCTTTTTCTACAAACTGTGAAATTATCAAAGCAATAACTTTTTAAGTGTAATGTTCAATATCTAAGTAGACAAGCGGTAAGCATAGTCATATCGACAGTCAGACACTGATGATACTATTCGTCCCTGAGAACAGTGGATTTGAGGCTATTGCCCAAGAAGATTATGTAGAAAGACACGTGACTCCATTTGTGTATTGGTTTGTATAATCCTACACCACAGGAACTAAAAGAAGTGACTTATATGACTGCACTTACATCGATATTGAGAAGAGCTCTTGTTTTAAAGTGTTGTTACAATCATACTGTGTCCACAAAGGTAAACATTTGGTAAAGCTTTCAATGACAGTTGATATTAGGCATTCAAGGTCCTTATTTTTCAAACGCAGCTAACAGCGATGCCAGAATTTTCCTAAACGAGTTTAATAGAGATGTTAATGGAATGTGAGACTGGTATCAATAACAAGATAATAAATGTATTGTAGATCGTGGATATCGAGAGGCTATTCCCACTTTACAGAGAATTGGTTTTAATACCAAAAGCAATCATTACTACAGCCAAATCAGACTCAATTCTCAACTGAGGAGGACCACAACAAGATGGGCAGTAGAGAATCGAAATGAATATCTCAAAAGTTTTTTTCTTACACAGTATCAACACCACATATCCCGAATTTGAGTGATTTTCTTCGAATTGCCGGAGCTATAATAAATAAATATTTCGGAATCGTCACGATAGCAAACACAGATGAAAATCTAGATAGAATAGAATAGCTGATTCAAGCGCAAGTTAAGTTGTTCAGGCAAGAGTAGAAAAGAGAACCTAGGGCGAAGAGCGAAGAAAATGGCTTGAATGACACCTGGCCATGTTACACTATTCCCAGTACTTACAGAAGGTTATTTTCGGAATCTAACGTTCGGAACTTACCAAGTAATCAAGTACCAAGATAATTCTCTAAGAATTGGTCATGATGAGGAAAAAGTTAAAGAACGCACTTTTTACATGGATCAAAATACAAACGAACCAGATTTCATGAGAATTTTCTCCATTCAAAAATGCCACAGTTCATCAACTATGGATGTAATTTACTGAAACGTATGTAAACCATCCTGAAACTGAGAATGAAGATGAACCCATTCTTGGTTACTTATGTACCTATAAACAAGGAGCAAGGACTTTAGGAACATGCGCCAATGTAACGGTTTCTATATGGTAAGTACTTGGGTATGCAAGACATGAAGATAATACTCGATTCATCAAAATCAAAACATTGAGGCAATAGATTATCTTGATGACAATTGTTGATGGAAGTATTCTTAACAGTTGCTAGGCCAGGAAACAGAGAGGAAAAAATAGAATATGAAAGCAATCTAAGTAGAGAATTAAGTAGCAGTAATAATACTAATGAAACGACAACTATAGAAGAAATGTGGGCAGGAATAAAAACAAAAATAGTAAGAGCAGGTGGAAAATACAGGAAAAAAGTGAGGAAACAGGAAAAAGAATGGTTTGATAATGAGTGTAAGGAGGAGCTAGAAACTAGAAGAAAATTGAGACAAAAGATGCTACAAGAAGGAACGGAGGAAGCAAAGAATAAATATGAAGAGCAAAGAAGGAAAACTAAAAAGGTGCTAAGAAATAAGAAAAGGAAAAATTATGAAACGGTATTAGAACAAATAGAAGAAAACTTAAGAAATAACAATATTAGGAATTTATACCAAGGAGTGAAGAATGAGAAAAGGGGGTATCAACCAAGACCAGTATTTTATAAGGATAAGAATGGGAAGATAGTGGCAGGAGAAAACGAAATATTGAACAGGTGGAAAGAATATTTTGAAGAATTATTAAATGGAGATGAAACCGATGATACGGAAAGAGAAGAAAATAATAGCAACATAGAAGGAGACAATATGGTGCCAGCGCCAAGTAAAGAGGAAATTAAAGAGATACTGTCAAAATTGAAAAATAATAAGAGTCCAGGAAGTGACAAATTAACAGCCGAACTATTTAAATATGGAGGACATGAACTAGCAGACCAATTACAGAAACTACTAGAAAGATGTTGGGTAAAGGAAGAACTGCCAAAGGAATGGACGGAAGCAGAAATTTGCCCTATCCATAAAAAAGGGAATAGAGGGGAATGCCAAAACTACAGAGGAATAGCATTGCTGAATGTAGCATATAAAATACTGGCCACTTGTATAAAAAACAAGTTGGTAAAGGAAGCGGAGGATAAAATTGGTGAATATCAGTGCGGGTTTAGACAAGGAAGAAGTACAGTAGACCAAGTTTTCACTCTGCGAGAAATTCAGGCTGAAAGCTTCGAATACGATAAGCCAACAGTAGTTCTGTTTGTAGATTACCAACAAGCTTATGACAAAATAAAAAGAAGTGAGCTATATAAGGTCTTAGAGGAATTAGAAATCAGCAAGAAGATAAGGAACATGGTACGCCTAACATTGAAAAAGACAGAGAATAAAGTAAAAGTAAACAATAGATGCACGGAAGAGTTCGAAGTTAAAAACGGCGTCAGACAAGGGGATCCATTATCAGCAGTGTTATTTAGTTTAGTGCTAGAAAAAGTCATAAGAGATGCAGGAATTAATAGATCAGGCCTTATTTACTATAAAAGACATCAGTGTTTGGCATTTGCGGATGATCTTGTAGTGTTAGCAAGAAATAAAGCAGAACTAAAAGAGGTAATAAGGAGAATAGATGAGCAGTCAGTTAAAAGGGGACTATATATTAATGAGACAAAAACTAAGTACATGGAATGGTCGGAAGAAGAATATCAAAAAGACAAGTTTCTGAAAGTAGATACAAACAGAGGGAAAACGTACAGATTTGAGGAAGTTGAACATTTCACATATTTAGGAACCTTATTTAGAAGAAGACCGAAAATAGAGGAAGAAATCGAAGCCAGAATAATGTTAGGAAACAAAAGTGTAGCGGGGTTGCAGAGAATACTGAGAAACAAAAACGTTTCTAGACAAACAAAGATAAGGCTGTACAAGACAGTGATAAGACCAGTAATTACATACGCCAGTGAAACGTGGACGTTGAATAAAGCAGAACAGACAAGATTGGAAGTATGGGAGAGGAAAATATTGAGGAAAATTTTTGGAGGGAAAAGAACAGAAGAAGGGTGGTTTCGAAGAACAAATGAGGAAATAAAAAGCTTATATAAGGAGGCAAGTATAGTAAGTGTGATAAAAGCACAAAGATTAAGATGGATGGGACATATTGAAAGAATGCCAGGGACAAGGATACCAAAAATGGTAATGGAACGAACAATTGGCGGTAAGAAGAGGAGAGGAAGACCGAAAACAAGATGGAAAACTGAGGTGGAGAGAGACTTACAACAACTGGGAATTGTCAGGTGGAAAGAAAAGGCAAAGGATAGAAACAAGTGGAGAAAGATAGTCAACCAAGCCATGGACCTACTAGGTCCGCAGAGCTAGATTATATATATATTCTTAATAATTCTCGGAGAAACAGTTTATCTTCGTTGAGAGTGAGGATTTTTTATTATACCCGTACATACACATTTACACATATGCATACACACACCCGCACACATACACATTCACACACAACACACACACACACGTGGGATCAAGCATCTGCCACGTCCACGCCGTTAACCTTGGGTAACGCTAAGTGCAGATTTGGCTATATTACCAGCTCACATATCTCCAAAACCGTGCATAGGCGGAGGTCGGGCCCATGGGGACTTTTGATCTATATCATATCATCTACTTGATCCCATAATTTCAAGCAATTTGACAAAAAATCTGTTTCCAATAGTTTTGTGCGGGATACTTTAACATTTCCTTTTTAATGTGTTTCATAAGGCTAATATATTTAATTATCCAGATAACATTGTAAATTAAATTTTATATTAAATTTATTTTGCTCTGAAAATTTCTAGGGCACTACACCAAAATAAATAATAATCAGCATGACACATAAGTTTGAAACAGACTGAAAATGAATTGTTTTATTTTTCTTTTAATCCCTCTTGAACTATGGTGAACCTTTCAATGTAGTTCAGGTCGTTGTACAACGTGTTGGTTATGTACTTGCCACATGATGAATATACAAGAATTGTTTAATTAGATGTAACTAACTTTTATTTGCCTTACCTGATTTAACAGAATTTCTTATACTGTTATTAGGTTGGCTTGTAATTAAATAATACTGATTTGTAGAATTACTCCTGAATGGTGTGGTTTGTGACAATACAATATAACAGTTTGGTACCGAGGTCCCCTTCTTTTTCTTATTTTTTCGCACCCTTCCTTTTTGTTCTACAGCATTTCTAATAGGTAAACTATTTTTTAATGGACTTTCTGATGCGGCCACTTTAGGTTTTTTCTTTTTTCTGTGTTCTCTGGAGGCTATATTTTCTTCTAAAAACATAACACTACATTAAAATTTATTTAGTAATTTTTGCAAAAAGAAATCAAATAACTATGCAAAACAAAAAATAATTAATATTAGACAAAAACTAATAGATGTTTGTAAGTAATAAAATTAGGTAAATTTAGCTAGAAATACTTACTTTCCATTTCATTTTTTCTTAGTTCTGCTTGTTCTGGAGAAATCCTTCTAGACCATAAAGGTTGCTTTTTGAATTTTTTAATAGTACCACAAACTGAGGGCACTGTGATGCCTGCATCTCTGAGTAAATTACTTAGTTGTTCATTCCTCACTAATAATTTTTTAACCCTATCTTGCAATTTTTTTATAATTACTTCTAAAAAATACATTTGTTTTATCAAAATATATGAAACTGGAAATTGTACCTTTCTCAGCCTTCTTTTCAGTATCTGAGGAAAGCAAATGTTTTATACGCTCTTGAAGTTCCTGAATGCTTGTTGTTGCCTTCCGAAGAATATCTATTTTACAAATATTTATTGAAGGATCATAACAAGGCAAAATTTTTGCTAAATTTGAAAATCCTTCCTTTAATCGATCTCTTCTTTCCTTTTCCCATTTACGACATTTGCTGAAAATAATACAAGAATTTATTAGATATGCTACTACTACTTCTTTTTTATATAAACAAACTCTCACTTTACCTATTCTCTCTTGGCATAATTAAATGTAATTACAAATATTATTTATATTTCTGCAATGATATAATTCTAAAATACATTTTATTTGCCTACGATTCAATAAATTTAATGTTTACATTTTACAGAGTACATGACATGTAGAAAAATAGAGGTTAGTATTGTTTTTTTATTTGGTTGTGGTACCATGACATGAAACAATTAAGCGGTATTCTGTGGTTTGTGGCTGTGACTATGGTGCATGAAAATTAGACTATAATGTTGTACCATTATATGTAACCTAAAATAACTGATCATTAGACTATAATGTTGTACCATTATATGTAACCTAAAATAACTGATCATTGAACAATTCAAATTCCAGAAGGGACTAAACTCTCTACCACTCGCGCCATTATTCCATGGCTAGAAATCGGCCTCAATGATTTGGGATCGAGGGGGATTATCCCTCTTTATCCTGGCTCTACCACTTGCTCTTTCTGTTGTAAACTGACCAATCTAGGGTCAGCTTTAAGTTAAATTAAATTCCATCGTTTTTTTTTAATTTCAAAGGGTCAATAAATGTATGCTTCATTTATTTTACAATGGTTGAACCTGAAAATTATTAATGACGTTAAGGGTGGTCTCGATAATTTGGGACCGCACCATTATTCCATGGCTAGAAATTGGCCTCCATGATTTGGGATCGAGGGGGATTATCCCCCTTTATCCTGCCTCATCTCGTGTAGGCCTGGACAGCCTTCGTAGGTGGGCCCCATCCGTCGTCTACCCCGACCGCAAATGCGGCCGGTGTAGGCGCTTTGTGGGACCTCCTTTTGTCCTGGCTGGGCCCCGCCGGCTAGGGCCCTTTCTTCTGGCGCTCTTCTTGCTTCGCCGGCTCGTCTGTGTAAACCCCGGGGGTAGTGTCATGTTTATGTGTGGTATGGTTGGGTAGGGTAGTGCGGCTATGCAGCCTGGGATGCGCTTTGCTAAGGTGGCCCTTAGGCTAGCGCGGGAGG